ACATAGGGTTCTACAGAATGCACTTCTGCTTTCAGATAGCAGCCTTCACCTCTTCCTGCAAAGTCATCTGAATTCAGAAGACATCGAGGCGTGTGTTTCTGGGCAGACTAAGTACTCTGTAGAAGAAGCAATTCACAAGTTTGCCTTGATGAACAGACGTTTCCCTGAAGAAGAAGAAGAAGGAAAAAAAGAAAATGATATAGATTATGATTCAGAAAGGTATTTCCTTGCATTTTGATTTAACGTATACGTATTTATATAACACATCGTACACATATGCGTGTGTATAGACATATACACACACTCCACTTTTTGTTGATGTAATACTAAGATAATGAAAAAATTAATTGACTGAGATTTTATTGAGCTGTGACAGCTCATCATAGTAGTCTTCACACACACCTCCACACTGAATTAATGAATGCAGTAGAAATTCAATTATCTGCATTCTGATTATGTGACTTTCATTTAGTCAGACTTGAATTATTCGCGTTTAAATTATCTAGCTAAAAAAATATCCAACTGCACTCCAAATGGCTAATTAAAAGTCCAAATTTCCTGTCTCTCTTTGTGACTGGAGATAATTAAAGTTCTCCTCTGTTACTCAGGCTTTGAGTGTGTTGTGAAAACCAATTTCCTCTTTTTATTATTTTCCCCCCTCTCTTCTTTTCCAGTTCATCCTCTGGGTTTGGACATAGTAGTGATGACAGCAGTTCGCACGGATGTAAAATGAGCACAGCTCCACAGGCATCCTGAAAAATAATTCTAATGTTACCATTTTAGGAATAGCAAATTGTGTCCAGTCATAGAGAATAAAGCTTGCGAATAATATATTCTTACCTAAAGCTAACTGTCACATTAAGTATTTAAATTCGTAAAGATGTTGTGTTGTTTATTAGTGGTATTTTTATGTTGTCTTATTTTGGCTAAGCTTCTGTGAAAAGCTAAAAGCCTGTGAATGCAGCACTCTCCTTGATCAGCGCACGCTATTGGTAAAACGAGATCCTGCCCTCAGATGAAATGATTTATATGTTTAAACAAAATCTAGTTGGCTTTATTGCATTTTAAAAGATAGGTAAATAGGTAGCATTTCAAATCCAGATGGAGCATTTCTCCTTGTATTACTGGGGCAGTGTTAGCATAAACACAGCAGGTATGTGTATGACTTACGGCACAGACCAGAATGCCTCTCTCAGACAGGCAGCTGGAATTTTGTGGGTACCTCCTCTGCACTGGAAAAACACTGAGCTTTGGAATGGTTGATTGAAATATTTTAAGAGTGTTTAACCTTTTCATTATTCTATTTCACACTTAGATGGAAAATGTATCTTACGAATAGAGACATGTTAAAATAATGTTTACATCTTTAAAAATTAAAAGCCCAGAAATAGCTCTAGTCATTTTGCTTATATTTGCAATATATAGAGGGCTTCCCTGGTGGCTTAGCAGTAAAGAATCTGCAATATATAGATTCAGAAATACATTTTCATTGTCCAAAATCAGCTTTAACACAAGGTTTCTGGGAACAAACCATTTGTTTTCATTATCTGTGTGTAATTAGAATTAGAGGTTCATGATTTATTTTCTGACTTAATGTGCAATTTCTTATCACTAGATAACTTTCAGTATCAGTGACAGTTGCTTGTTACTTTAAGTTAAAAGTAGGATCTTATACAAATTAATAAAATTTGCCAGTAAATATTCCCATAATATAGAAAAGGATATGAACTTGCTAATTTCAGAATTAATTATTCATTTTTTAAAAAGTCCTTTCTTTTAAGGCATCTGCCTAAGGATTGGTATAATTTAACAAAAATGTCTTTTTTTATAGTGGTCAAAGATAAAATATCTTAGATAAACTACATTGAACGTCAAATTTCAGATGAGGCAGCATTTTCTTGAGATAACTGTTCATATTTCTTTCTTGTTGAATGGTATGAAATATCTCTGAAATTAACAAGAAGATATCTTTATATAAGGGGGATAACTTGTTGCTTTAATTAAATGTTACTTCACCCTCATTTTAACTAGGAGTTTATTAAAAGTTAATGTATTATTTTAAAAGTCTGTGAAATGCTTGTAACTGAGACTCAACAGAAAAAAATTAAATTTAGGATACGAATGATTTCCTTAATTTTGCCATTTTGTTTTCTGTTTGGTCTAAAAGGTTATTGAACTTTTTGTAAATATTTTTATTTAATGTATCTTGGATCTTACTACTTTTATCATCTACGACTCATTATTTTAATACTGGAGAAAAAAGATTTATCAATTTCTTTTTATCTTGCTGACATGTGAAGTTTGCCATTAAGTCATTTCAGTGTGGTCACCAGCTCCTTGGCAATATGTATTTGTATTCATGTTCTGTTTTACAGTAGTTTTGAAAAGCATATATCGTGTCACCAATTGTAATGTAATTCTTAGATGATGAGACTATAGCTGTCAAAATTGATATTAAGTAATGTGTAATACTGTGGTATGTAAACTTCATGAGAGCATCATTTTCACATTAAACATGAAAAAAACAACTTGTTTGTTGCTTATTTTATACAATATATTTCTTCTGACTTAGATCTAAATTCAGTATATTTCTGAATCATCAGTAATTTTTAATGGATAATTTTGGTAAAATTTGATTTCATATTCACTGTAGTTGTATACATTTAAGGTGTTTAGCCTTGGTTTGGTTGTTTTGATATCTAAGTACTGGCTTCTTAAAACTGATTTCCCAACAGCTGAGAGATTTCCCAACAGCTGAGAGATTTAAATGAACTTCAGCCCCTAGTGGCTTTCTTGCTTTGTTCAAGTCTCTTATTATTCTCTGGCATATTTTTATAAAGCTTTCTTTAGAGAAAGAAAACAGTTACTTACATAACTAAATAAAATAGATGTTTATTTAAAACTATTGAAAATGTAACAAATTTAAAGAATTCTTATCCTGGATGCTTTATGATTTGTATACAGCAAAACTCTATTTCTCTGGCTAATTCTGAAAGGGCATGCTATTCACCTATTAAGCTAGTTTATGTGTTCTGTTTCAGAACTGATTTTATGTGTAATCCCAAAGTGTCAACAATGAAAGTCAACAACCTGTTACTTAGGGCTTCTTTCAAAGTCTCACTTGGAAGAAAGTGATTAAAGAAACTGAGTTAAAATTTCAAGTTTTAAAAATTACTAAGGAAAAACAGAAATGCTACTCTTGAGTTATGTACCTTAAGATAATAAATACCCTGCACGAGCTTTTAATCTCTAGTTCACATTTTACTAAATAATTAAATACAAACAAGTGATATGCAATAACCTTACTATAGTAAGACAAAAAAAATTCTCTTATGGCTCTTAAGAATTTAAACAAATTCATTTCGCTTAGCCACAATTACCATTATATCCCAACATTAAATTGAATGTTGTTTTGAACTCAGTTTGTTTTTTGGTGCCTTGAGGATTCATCATTATTGAGCAGCTGTGGTACAGATAAGGTTTTCAATATTTCAGCCATAAAGGAAGACCCTTTTCCATGAAAGGCTTCTAAAATTTTAAGACAAAAATAGCAAAAGCTTATTCTATTTCTAAGTAAGTTTTCTTCTTAATATTTAAGTCACTTAGTTGATATCCTGTGAATATAATGCAGCATCTTTTCAACAGAGGGACAATTTATTTCAATACAATTTTCTGCTTTTGTTTGGAATATAGACCTTTATTATATATATAACATGTATATACAGATATTTTCAAATACACAAAGCTGTCTGAAATTAGTTATTGTAATTAGACATTCAAAGCATAGGTACAATTTCCTTTGCACATAAAGGTCATACAAAATTAATACATTTTAGTAGAATGGAATTCAAAAATTTTAGGATGTACATAAGCAACAATTTCTTTAAATTTGAAATATTTACAAAGGATTCTGGCTTTCTTCTTTGCCATATGCAGCTCACAAACGAGTCACCATTGTTCCTTTAAGTCAAACACAATTGCTCTTCACTCTTGATGGAAACTTTTCTAGATCATTGTTAGGAACGGTGCACTGGACGCTAATTTATTTTAGCTGCGCAAACTGGTAGTTGACCCCTTTTCTCCAAAATTCCAAAGACTTCTTTTAAAATAATAGGAAACGAGAAAAAAAAATTAAGCTACAATTTTTCTGCGGAATTTAAACTCTCAAGACACTACGCAGATGGTTTATGCTAAACAGGAAAATACCCTTTCTCCCCCGACGAGAAGTGTAGATGCATCCAAAACCCCACACCGCTTGTCTTTGCTGCTAGAGGCACAGCACGGGCATAACTTGTGGTTGTGTTTTTGCTTGTTTCTTACCTCCGGGCCTTCTTTATAGCTCTGCCCCCCACCCCACCGGCGGCGGCGCCCCCGCTGCGGCACCCAGGCCGCCTGTTGGCTGCGGCGCCCGGCCGGCTCGCGCACACTCCCCGCGCCGCTGCCCGCACACGCGCGCTCCCGCTGCCTCCCGCCCGGGCTGCTCCGCTGGCGGCGGCGACTGGGTGGCAGGTAGCGAGCCAGCCGGCCTCGGTCCGGTAACCCATGGCAACCACCCTGGTAACCCATAGCAACTGCTAGGCGGAAAGAAAGAAGGGAAAAAAAAAAAACGCAACGCGGGTGGAGGGGGGCGGCGGGTGGTGAGTGGAAACAACAACCGCAGAGACAGGATTTACAGCACCGACCTGCAGTGCCCCCTCCCCTGCCCACCTGCCTCGAACGTGGGTACCGCGAGGCCCCCTTCCTAACTTTAGAATGACAACTTGGCGGCTTGAAAAAAAAATAAAAAATAATGCAGAGGGGTTTGGGGTGACAGGTTTGGTGCGGGAGGGAGGTTTGAATACCGATGACCCCCGGGGACTGCAGGTTCAGTCGTTTCCGGGGCCCGGCTGGTTTGGGAGCGGGCGTGGAGCCGGCTGCCGCCAGTCGCTCGGGTGGGTTTCGGGCTTAGCTGGGTCAGGGCGGCCGGGCCGGAGCCGGGGAGGCGGCGGCGGCAGCAGTTCTCACTCTAGGGCTGGACCGTCTTTGTTCTGCAGAAGCTCGCGCGGCGCTGCGCCCTCGACCCCGCTGCCGGGCCTAAGAGAGGGCGAAGACGCGCCGCCGGCTAGGGTGTGGTTGAGGCCTGTAGGGGCCCGGGAGCGCTCCGGGGTCGCGATGGAGCTGGGGCGAAGCCCACGCGTTCCGAACGTTTTATCTGCACCCGCACCGCACACGTTAGTTGTCCCCTCTCCCCTGGAGTCTCCCCAGAGCCCTAAATAAACCCTGCGGTGGGAGCGCCTTCGCGTTAACGCGCCCGCTCCCTTGTGGGTAGGGAGGGGACAGGTGCGCTTGGCTGCGGGACCGGGTCGCCGAGGAAGAAGCGCGTGCTTCTGGGTCCTGAAACGGCCCTGGGCCAAGGTTTAATGTGTGCGCGTGTGTGGAGGGAGTGTGGGGGGAATGTATAGGGAAAGACACGTCCCTCACCCGACTAGGGCCGGGAGCCCAGAGGCCGAGCTTCCTTAACCCTGGAAGCAAGGGCGCGGCCGGTGGCAGACCCGGTGCAAGGCTGCAGGAGGACAGAGGGGGGCGCTGCCAGGCCAGCGTGGTGGCCCGGCGATCCGTGGGAGAACGCGCCGCCTGGGGTCTGGCTAGCTTTTGCGTGGTGGTGTGGGGTTCCAAGTGGAAAGAACCCACGCCCTACACAGGTTTCTGTCGGTACTTCGGAGCGTCGTCTGTTCCTTGTTCTCCGAACAGCCAGTTGTCAAAAGGATGATGCAGGAAACATAACCGGCACTGGTTCCACTGGATACAGAGCAACTAGGTGCATAAAGAGTCCACTCCACCAGAAGTGTAGTGCAGTGAAGAGAGAGGGCACTCGGAATTTGGAACTTGGACGCCTTATAGTTCTAGGTCTAAATCTAACCAGTTGTGATTCCAGGTGCATTTTGATGTTTTAATAAGGATTAAAGTCTGGATAATTTTTAAAGTCTTTCGAGGTCTTAATCCTCAATTGTTCGCCCTCTGTAGGTGTGTGCCAGTTACAAACAGGAAAACCATCAGCAACATTCAACACAATTACCTGAACAAGTATCACTCACATCTGTACAATATATGGTCCTGAAAAGGTGATTAGATCAAGTGTTTTATATATCTAATAGTTTCACTGGTAAACAAGGGAAACTGGCTAAAGAATCCTATTTTAATCTTTTCATAAAAGAATCTTCTGCATATATGTTTCTGTTGCCATCGATCTTAGGGAAATTTGGTTTATTTTTCATAAACGTGCACGTTCTGGGCTCTGCTGCCTACCGGGCACCAGGTAAAAAGGAGACTGTAAACTATCACACCTGTGTAAACCATAAAAGATAGCTTGCCTGCCCTGGGATCCATTCAGTACAACCCCGGCCCTCTATGTAGTGGTATACTGGGAGCCCTGTGCTGTAATTTAATTTTTTTTTTAACAAAAGCAATTACAGAAAAGTGCAAATTTAACGGGTGACATTTAACATTTTGCCGTGGCAGGCAGCCTCCACTTAAATGAGGCCTTTCTGCAGAACAACAGGAGCCAAAAGGCCTTGTGTCATGGAGTAATGTAAGACACAATCTGGGCTGCAAACGCACAATGAATCGGGAAGGATTTATGTAATTAATTGACCAGTCTTAACCTGTTATCGTGATGTAAGGAATTTGGAACTCATTAATTTGGGCTCTGACAGATTTCATATTAGAGCTGGCAAATATGGATTGAGCCTCTTATTCTTGTAGCAGCTGGAATTTCCATGACAGTGAGGATTAGTGAAGAAGACCTATTGCTGGAGTCAAACTGCCTCTTTGTAATCAGTATCCCTGCTCTGCATTAAAAGGAAAATGAAAAAAAGAAAAAGAAAAAAGGAAAAAGCATATTACCTGGCTGAAGGAATGAAAGGGGCTGATTTTCACTCTGCTGGTATGGGTGTTGGGCTCAAGCATCTGCAGTTGAATAAAAACATTAATTTCAGTCATAAAGTTAGGTGGTTTCTCAAGCACCTTGAGAGAATGAGAAGATAGAAGGGTCTCAGGGTCAGGTTTACTATTGTCAAAGGTAAAAGGGATTAAAAGATGGAGCCTTTGAATTTCCTCTACGTGCACACAAATGTATGAAGAAGGACATAGACGTCTTAGAGGCAAATGGCAAGTTTTGAATAGCATATCCACAAATAAGAGATTCAGAACCTTGAAAGAGAAACTGGTTTTCTCAGGAGCCATTGACTGTCTCCTAATCAGAGCCTCTTTGTGGATCTCAGGAAACCCAGAATTCACATAATGAGCTATTTGTCGATAGTCTAATTTGTGTCCTTTTCACAGTATATGATGTTAATGAGTCACCCATTTGGAAATGTCTAGTTTTTTCTTTGAGATTTTAAGAAAACTCAGTAAAAATCTAACTTTCATTTTCACCCTCCTTGACAATCAGAAAAATGCTCGATTAGAAAAAAAAGGTTCCAAGATTAAACTAAATGCTTTTTCTTTTTCTTCTTTTCACAACTGGTTTCCCCTATTGCTGTGCAATGTGATAAGGTTAATGTAACAACTGCCATAAGGATCATTAATACAGGAAGATAAGCAAAGTTGCACGTTTAAAACATTTTCAGGGTATCATTTGCCTCCTTCTGCTGATAAAGGGGACTTTGGTAACAAATGCAGAATACAGGCACTGAATATTTAACTTTTTAGACAGAAAGCCCAATTGACCTTTTCTAGTATGTTATTATTCATAAATACTCTTCGAAGTTGAGTACTGACTGCTCTTGAAATATGTTTTTAAATTTGTACGTTACTTTAAAGAATTTCCAGTCAAACAACTTTAATTTTAATATAAGAAATAGTGTTATAATGTGAATCTTTGCAAAAACAAAAGGATTTCCAATCTCCTCTCCCACTTTTTTTTTTCTGTCTTGATTCCAACCAGATTCCAAAGTTGGTTTTTTTTTTTAGTTAGTGATAATGGAATTTAATCTAGTAATGAAGTACTTGGTACAAAGATTTGTTTTGTGATTATCTTGTTAAGAAGTGATTTCTTCAGCTTTGGTTCCACTTAAGTGCATGCATAAACATTGGAAATTTGCATCAATATATTAATGTTATCCTTCACATTGAGAGCAAAAAAAGAGCTAGTAGTTGTTATTAGTATTATTATTTCTGTGGGAAGTCTGTGAAGATAAACAATTGATATCAGCAAGACTTGGATAACTAGTATAAACCATGACAAGGGCGATTAATAGTGTGTATAAACACACTTCAAATTTGTATACACCATCTCAGCTCTCACCTAGGGATTTCTTTGTATTTTTTTAAAAAGAGTAATTTGTAAGTTGACAATTACAAGGTTATCAGCTCTTGTGCTGTGTGTACTGTTTATATATTGGAGGTATGGAATGGACACTTTGAAGTGTGATTTACCCAAGTGAGTGTTGACAGGAGGGAATTCTGTTGAATTGGGTTCTGACTCTGCCATTAACACATACCCAAAGGCAGCTCCCACCCTCTGTAGACTGCAGTATCCTCATCAATACAATAAAAAGACTAAATACAGAATGTCTTTAAAGGTGTTAATAAATGTTATTTTAAGAAAAGAAAGAAAGAAAGGGAAAAAAGGAGGTAGGGTGGAAATTTTCATGGTCTATTACTTTCGCAGGACTTCTCAGTGCCTTTCATATGTTGAGATACTGTGTGTGTGTGTGTGTGTGTGTGTGTGTGTGTGTGTAGGGGGATACCGTTTTACAAAACTGTATCCAAAAAAACAATAAAAATTTCATGATCTTTTGAGTCTATAACACTTTGGATCTTTTTCCCAGAATGATTAAGGGACACTTGTGTTCATCCTTGGGTTTCCCAAGTGGCTTAGTGGTAAAAATCTGCCTGCCAATGCAGAGATGCAGGAGATAAGGGTTCCATCCTTCGGTTGGGAAGATCCGCTGGAGGAGGAAATGGCAACTCATTTCAATATTCTTGCCTGAAGAATCCCATGGACAGAGGAGCCTGGGCAGCTATAGTTCATAGGGTCGCAAAGAGTCAGACATGACTGAGCAACTGAGCATGCACATGTTCATCCTAAACGTTCTTGAGGATATGGTGTGAGAGATGGGTGCATGCACGCTCGGTGATCCTATGTGATCGTTGTGATCTTTGTGATCCTATGGAATATAGCCCCCTAGGCTCCTCGGTCCATGGGATTGCCAGGCAATAATATGGGGAGGGGCTGCCATTTCCTTCTCCAGGAGATCTTCCCATCCCAGGGCTCGAATCCACGTCTCCTGCACTGTCGGACGGGTCCTTTGCCACTGAGCCAGCAGGGAAGTCAATGTGGATATCATTAAATGAGAAGGATTCCCTTTCAGTGGCCAGGTTCTGTAAAGAGGCAGGGAGTATGGTGCAAGTTTAAATCTTAGATTCACTGCCTAAAGATGAGTGGCTTGGGGTAGGTCCCTCAACCTTTTGGAGTTTGTTTCTTTATATACAACATGAAGATAATAATACACCCTGAGGGCAAGTTGTGAGGTGCTGATGAAATCAGCGCGAGTTCCCTCTGCTTGGAAGGCTCTCTCGCTTTCCTTACTCATGCCTTCTTGCCTGGCTCATTTCCCCTAGTTATTCAGGACTCTAATGAAATATCTCCTGGTACAGATGCCCACTCTGACCACACCCCCTGCAGGGCAGGGACGCTTCTGCTGTTTCCGCGCAGGACCTGCTTCACATTCGCACTGCCTTTCTGGCAGCACCCATGCCTCTGTGCTGCACGCTTGGTCACCCATCTTCTCTTCAGGCAGAAGCCCCTGGAGGATGAAGAATGCATTTTATCTCTGGCCCACCTCAACCCCCCAGCACTAGCCACAGTTTAATACAGAGCGAGGTCCAGAGTCGGAGACGAGTTACACTCCTATGTAGGCAAAAGGTATACAGACCCTTCTCAAAGCCCCTTTCCTGTGGTGGAACTAGCAAAAGTAGCAGTAGATCAAATTCAGGAACGGTGGTAGGTGATTCAGAGAGATCTGCCTCCGGGAACTGGAGAACGTTGGCTGTCCGGAGGGTGCAGAAGAACCTGGTGTTACAGTGACTCATGTCTCATCTCTCTGTGGCAGAAGACCTTGACATGGTAATGTAGTTGTCCATTCATGAGGTCTACATGGCAGTCAATCAAAGCTTTGCTTGAGATTCCTCTTTTTGATTATCGAAGAAACCATTCGATGAAATATTTTGGTGAAATAGTTCTTTTGGTTAATTTGTTTCTAAGACACTGTGCCTAG